CGCGGCGGGGGACGTCACGACGGCCGGAGGTGCGCAAGTTCCGAGTGAAGGCGCACTCGCGAGAAGATACACGGTACATCATGATGGAGCCGACGATTGAGTTTAGGGAGTTTGAGAGTCGGATCCGGGACAAGTTTGGGTTCCGCACATTGCTGCGAATCCGCATGCAAGACGATGGGGATATGATTACGATGGTAGACCAGGAGGATCTAGACTTGTTGATGGCGGGGTCGCGCGAGGTGGCACGACGAGAGGGGAGCGAGATGGGGAAGATGGAGGTATACACCCACTTGACTGCAACGAGAGAAGGGATTGTGCTGACTATGACAGATATGGGTTGAGGAGCGAGGCGTGATTTAGGATTGCATTAGCGTATACCCTGGAGTTTGGTTGATATGGTATGGTTGTATGGTTGTATGGCTGGTATGGATGATATGAATTATGACAATGCATAAACACGTAAGCATACATCACGTGATCACTACCTACGTAGCTAGATGTAGTGTAGATACATTGAAGCCAGCTCGCACCAACAGACCACAACCCCGAAGTGTATATAGCAACACAGCACAATGACCGACCTCACCCCCACATTCACCCAGCTGGTGCACAGCAAATCGCCGACCTCGAAACTCTCCACAGGGTACATGACGACCGAAATCGCCGACGAATTCCTCAAAGAAGCCTACCGAATTGTATGCCATCCCCCATTATCCATCCACCATATACTAACAAATACCCACGAAATGAAATAGAACTCCCACATAACCTCCCTACTATCCTACCTCCAAACCATCCGCCCCTCGTACCTCTCCCTAACCAACACAAAACCAACAACCACCACCCAACCCAAACAGAATGAAACACTAGACGACTCCGCCCGCGACACCATAACCACCACCACCTCATCCTTATTATCCAACCTCTCCACATCAATAACCACCCTCAGCGCAGCAGAGAATCTCCGCCAGGAGACGGTCTCGCGAAGCATTACCCAACGCTTCGGGAAGGGAGTATTTGCCCGTTGGGCTAGCGGAGCCACTCTTACTTCCCCTAAGGATGAAAATGAGGGCAAAGAAGCAGAGCAGATTGTTGAGGAGGAGAAAGAGAAAGTGTTAAAGGGGGTGAGGGAAAGCGTGCTATTTTATCTTAATAAGAAGCTGGGGAGTGTGGTTAATGAGCAGAGGGATATGGTTGAGAAGAGGATTGAGAGGGTGAGGGAGAGGGAGAGGAGTGTGCTTTATAAATCGAATACTTCGTCTTCTTCTTCTTCGGTTGGGTGGGGAAGGGTGGATGGGGAGTGGAGGGGGGATAATACTACTGGTGTGGTGAAGATGGACGAGAAGGAGGTAAAAGAGATCGAGAAACAGTTAACACCGGAGCAATTGCAACTGTTCGAGGAGGAGAATGATTCCCTGGTGAGGTATTTTGAGGATGTGGTGGGGAAGGTTCAGTATGATATACCCTTATCCTTTCTCTCTTTCTCTCTATTGAGGTATCTGTGTTGGGATATGGCTAACAGTTGACTGTGGCATGTGTGTAGGAACGCCGAAAAATCCCTCCTCGAGATCTCCTCTCTCCAGCAAACTCTCGTGTCGCATTTATCTACCCAAGAGGAATATATCTCGCAGCTGGTGACGGATGCGAGTAATACCGAGGCGAATATTGGTCAAGGGAATAAGGAGTTGAAGCGGGCGACGGAGAGACGGAGTACGGCGCAGGCGGTGTTTTGGGGGACCGTGGGGTTGTGTACGTGGTTGGTTGTTTGGGATTTGGTTTTTTAGTTCTTCTTATTTTGATTCTTTGCTTGTTTATATTTTGTATTGGGGTTGTCTACCAGTCTAGCTGTTGTACCTTACATATATCCATTCCATATCCATCATGTACTACCTGTGGTATCTTATGAAGTCTCCCGCACTACGCTGTCCACTGCCTCGGCAAAGTAGTCCAGGTTATGTGTGTTTAGCCCGGCCATGGAGATACGGCCGTTCTTGGTCTGTGTCCTTTGTTAGTATATACCCACATAGTGATATCGAAGGGAGGAGAGGGGGGGAGGGAGGGTACCATATAGACATGCCACTTCTCCTTCAACACCTTTACTTGCGTCTCGGTCAGCCCCGTAAAGCTGAACATGCCAATCTGATCCGTAATGTGGTTCCAAGTGCCCGGCGTGCCCTTCTTCTCCAAGCGCTCCCTCAATCCCTTGCGCATCTCCGCAATGCGACCACTCATCGTCTTCAAATCCTCCTCCCACTCCTGGAACAGACCCTCATCGTTCAACACCCGGCTGGCAATGCGTGCACCGTACGCCGGCGGGTTACTGATCTCACTGCGCTGCAGGATCGCCAGCTGCGACGCGATATGCGCATTCGCCTGGGTGGCCTCAGCACCCGGGGCCGAGACGAAATGGAACGCACCCGTGCGCTGACCATACAGACCAAAGTTCTTAGCGAAGGATTGCGCGACGCACAGCTCGAAGCCTTGCTCGACGAAGTAGCGCACGGCCCAGGAGTCGCGGGCGAGGTCACCCGAGGCGAAGCCCTGGTAGGCGCAGTCGAAGAAGGGGAAGTGGTTGCGCTCGCGCATGACGACAGCAACCTCCTTCCATTGGTCTTGGGTCAGGTCGACGCCGGTGGGGTTGTGGGCGCAGACGTGCAGGAGGATGATGGAGCCGGTGGGAGCGTCGCGCAAGGCGGAGAGCATGCCGGAGAAGTTGAGGCCCTTGGTTTGGGGGTCGAAGTAGGGGTAGTTGGCGAGGGAGAGGTTGACGTTGGTGAAGATTTGGTTGTGGTTGGCCCAGGTTGGGTTGGAGAGGTAGACGGTGGGCTTAGGGTTGGAGGGGTGGAATTTGGAGAGGAAGAGAGCGCCCAGGTGCACGGCACCGGTGCCGGAGATGGTTTGGAAGGTGCATACCTAGGAGATGTTAGATGGATAGAATCACAGAAGGGATGAAGGAGAGGCTTACGCGGTTCTCGCGAATGGCAGGGCTGTCAGCGCCAATCATCAACTTCTGGGCGGCGGTGGTGTAGTCGGCGAGACCTTTGATGGGGAGGTATTCGTGATTGAGGGCGGGGTCATTGCGAACGAGCTCATCGGCCTGTCGGAGTTGGTTAGTTGAGATGCTGCGGGGATGGAGGGAGATAATGATGTGCAGGTGGGGAATTGAGGGGTAGCGAAAGTACCTTCTTGACGACGGGCAGAATCCAGGGTTTGGCATTGTTGTCGCGGTAAGCGCCAATGACTAGATCAACCTTCTTGTCGGAGGAATCCTGGCGAAAAGCCTGAGCCAGACCGAAGAGAGCATCTTCTGGCGCGGCGGGCACGACGGCGGTAGAAAAGACGGAGGGGGTGGTAGAGCCCATGATGTGCGAGGAGAGAGAAGCAAGACGGGAGCGAGCGGTAGTAGTAGAGGTAGCAATGGAGGAAGAGGATGGAGAGGATGAAGAAGAAGTAAGGGAGAAAGAAGAAGATGGAGAAGAGGAAGAAGAGGAAAGGGGCGACATGATGTATTGTCAGGTCGAGAAGAGGTCACACCACCTGATTCCCTCAATCACTGCTGCTTGCGTTCACCGGCGCCAATAAAGTGAACTTGACCGAAACAGATAAATCCCGATGGATACACCGGAGCTGGGCAGATGCAGGACAAGGAAAAAAAAAAGAAAAGAAAAGGACGGGACGGAGTAGAAATGGACACGATCGGGGATAGGTTCGGAGGAGGGAGTACGGGGTACATATAGTAGTCTAAGAATGTTATTGATCTTGAGAACCGAGACAAAAAGTTGAGGGTTGGAGAATGAGCCGAGGATGTGGCAGTTGCTGGCCCGGAATGATGAGTTGAGCAGATGATAATAATGATGATGACGCATTCACATGACTGCACATTAATTAGATAATTGAAGCATTATCTCGAACCTCTATCTGTATACTATCTACTTCTCTGAAAATGAAGATACATTCCAGCTATACTGCAGTTATCAACATGAGCAAGGATTAGATGTTTGGCGGACAGAATTGCCCGAGCTGGCCTGACATCATCATATGACAGATCCACTTATGTTTTCTACAACTAGTTACTAAGTATGAATGAAAGTACTAGTAAGAAAAGCATACAAATATCCCTCATCTCTCCGATTTATCTTCTTTATTATCCTCTACTAGATAGTACCAAGACAGTCAGTAATAGTAGTATAATACTTCCCACTTGAGTAATTTCATCCACCATCCACATATCCCTAAAGGTACTTACTTAAAATAAGTAGAACTGCTTGAAACGCGGCATTAACCACCAATCACAATCTACTGTTACTCATACCTACAGCCCCGACGCCAGCCGCATTCAGCCAAAATCACTCACTTTTCTGACTAACAATAATAATAGCAAAGTTCTAGGTTCTTTTCCCCCGCCCCGACCGAGTCTTTGTCAATTTTTTTACTCCAGGATAATCTGTTCACAATGACAGACTAATCACAGTAGTATAGTCTCAATGGATGAGGATATATCCAGATATCTATTATCCACTCTAGTACTTCAATCTTCATAGAGGAAAGAAAGAACCGGAAAAGCATTCCACCCTGCAAGACACAAAGACAAGAAGTAAGACAAAAAAAGGATGATCGCTTACCCCACGGGGTGCAATCGGGACAGCTCCTCTACGAGCCTCGCCGGATTCCGGAATCCGATTTGCATTTCGTGCTTTTTAACTTAATTAACTTGTTTGTGTGGAATTGGGATCGTCGCAATTTCGTCACTGGAAAAGTACTACTTTACATAAATAATTTGTAATGTATTGCAATTGGCATGGATTTGGCATGAGATTCCGAGGTTGGGCTTGCTTTGTTTCCTAACTAGTTACTCGTAGGCTAACTAGTTAGAGCTCGTGCGAACTGACTAATTAACGATTCTAGACCCATACTAGAACAGTCGGATTCTTTGTCCTAATGTAGTAGGTATATCGCTGGTACATAGGATACATTTACACACTGCTTCGGTGTATGTTATGTGCCTGTTCACTGGTCATTTCCAGGTAAAACCATCGGTCCTATATACACAATTTTCCCCCCGGTGCAAAATTCACCTTATCACTTCTAAACGCCATGTTTCGCCAATATCGCCATATAAACAAACATCATGATGTGATAGTGTCCCCATCATCAATCCAATCAATCATGTAAATCATAAACCCATATATCCCAGGTCACAGAAACCAGAAGGGGGAGTCGCCGGCAGCCAGGCCGGTCATATATATCCATCCCATCGGCTTCATACATAACCCTCCCCATCTCGCATCTTCAATATAGCACATGAACACTCAATGCTCCGAATCACGCCAGCATGCACGTAGAAATAAGTAATGCAAATGAAGAAGGGGAAAACAATTCCAGAGCAGAATCAGGCAAATCAGGCAGGCGGTGCGTCATTCGATGATGACGATTCGACCGCCTCTCCATGCGCCCGCGTGCGCACCCGGAACTTCTCGCGCAGTCGCGTCGTCAGTCGACTGCGTCGCCGCATTCGCTGCTCATCCGCTTCGTCGGCTGCTTCCTCCCGGTTGGCCTCTTCCCGCACACTCCGCAGCGCCGCAAGGCGTTCTTCTACGCTGGCATCGCGCATGCGGCGCGCATTCAATGTACCGTGCAGGTAGTTGCTAATGCGACGGTGGCGGCCATGGCCACTCTCAGTCGTTGCCTCGGCGGTTCCCTCGGCCGTCTCCGGCTGACCATCACCCAGATCTTGCTCCTCCTCGCCTTCTTGCTGTGGGGGGTTGAGATCGATGCGGCTGCAGAAGTTAGTAAATGTATACATCATTTAGATAAAGTCCAACAGAATGCTCACCAGAGAGGGCATGTGCCAGAAACATTCACCAGCCACGGGTCAATACACTCGGGGTGGAATTGATGGTTACACGGCAGCACGCGCAAATCCTGCCCCTTAACAAAGTCATCCGTGCAAATAGGGCACGAGAAGTTCGGGTGATCCGTTGTCGTCTCCGCCGCAGGAGCATCGCTGGGTTTCTCTTCATGCGATTCAGTCGGGGGCGCCTCCGTCTGTGGCTGGTGTGGGGAGGTGACCTCCGCTGTCGTGGTCACATCTCGTTCCTCTACTTCATTGGCCGGCACCTCCAACCCCGAACCCATCTCAACATCCCCCTTGGGGCCAACCGTCTTGCCGTCGGGTTGGTTGTTGTCCCCGAATTTGACGATCGGGATCGTATCTAACATGGCTCGCGCTATCCCTCGCGCTCGACTTTGTCGCGGTCGTCCCGCGGTATACCGAGGCCCATAGCGCTCCGGATGGCGGTGCGCACGCACCGCACCGGTGATGATAATGGCTAAAAAGAGGGCAGTGATAATGCCTGTAATACTATACAGAATGATCATCGCTGTAACAAATTAGCACATGCTGCCGCGGCAATGGAGAATCGACATACCCGTGTTCGGACTCCCGGACGAATCGGTCTGGTCCTGGGTCGTTGTGGTGGGCCCCAGATACGACATGTTGGTGCCGATATACGTCGTTCCGTTCCCTGGAGCTTCAAGTTGAGACTGGACTTGCCGATTCAAAGTCGGATTCACGAGCGTAAAGACGTTGATATAGCGGTTGGCGGATGGTTCATCCGTCGTATAGTTGCAGAGCAGTGAGGTGCCACTATATAAGATGACAGCGAGAGCCTGCTGCTGTGCGGTGAGAACGTTGCCTAGCGTGGAGCTGGCATCCAAGTTCCCGGGATAGGCGGATGGGTCGCAACTGATCACCGCAATATCCTTGCGGCTCAATGACAGAGAGTTGGTGGCATCCACATCCAACAAAGTCCCGGACACCAGATATTGCTAGATTCCATCAGTCTCGACATGGTGAGGCGTCGACAGGGCTGACTAACCGCAAGTTCCGCCTGATTGAGATCCACCAAAGCCTGGGTCAACGGGGCCAGACGGACGGACGTTGGCAAGTGAACCTGACTGCTATTCAAAAGGAACCGGAGGCCACCAGTCCACGACAGATCCCCAGAGTTGTTGGAGGGCCGCACGGTCCAACCGGCCGTGTTCACTGCAGAGCCGAGGGACGAGAGGGCGAGCAGGAAGATAACGCGAGCGGGGAGCGAACAGGTGGAGGAAGCAGCAGAAGCAGCAGGAAAGGACGTAAAACGACGGAAGAAGGAGAATAAAAAGAAGAAAGGAAAGAAGAGTGAAGCAGGATGGAAACGGGGAGGACCCATCGGCGAATCGCCCAGTTGATGATGCTGGCCGGCGATGGAACTTTCCCCACAGTGACGAGGCCTACGGAGACGGCGGAGGATATGGGGGACGGACGAAGATCATGAGCCACGGACGAGGATCGGCCCAGGACCAAGAAACCAGGAGGGACCCAGAGGCAGCCGAAGAGGCACCCAACTGCCAGTCAGCGTTTAACGAGGACGGTGATATCACCCCCGTGTAGGAACCGGACGATCCGCGGCGGCTACAACAGGATTGGAGCGACCGTAGTGGAAGGGGGGGGGGGCTGTGAACAACAGTGAGAGGTAGGGATGCCTCGTCACCAATACGGGCAAGTGAAGAGCGATTGGGGGAGATTGGGAGAGATTTGGGTAGTGGATTGAGTACCACGGAAATTAGGAATGGTGTGAATGAGACAATTTGGAAATTCAAATGGGGTGGGTGAGTTGGGTGAGAGGAAGTGAGTGAGTGATTGAGTGTGTGTGGATCGGAGGTTCACAACCTTCAGCAAGCAGACTGGCTGCAATGGGAATTAGCAGCGGCTGGCGATGGGGGAGAAGGATGATGATTATCCACCAGACGAGGGGAGGTTGGCGGATGGCTGGCGAGCTGCGCAGCCGGGCGATCCGGCAGGAAAAGCGACGGATGAAATAAGAGAAAGACAAATAATAATGATAATAATAATGCCACTGGTCTGTCAGCCTCGTTACTATTCTTATTACTGCTGGCCCAGTGGGTTGTTTGGAGTGAGATTCAATCAATCAGTCAATCAATCAATCAATCAATAAATTCAGCCAATCCACCCGAGGAGAATGAGCCGTAAACGCTGCCTGTTTCCCAACTTTTTAGTTCAATCAGAGGAGACAGCAAGCGAATACGAGAGGGTCGAGCAAGAGTGAGAAAGTAAAGAGCAGTGAGCAACCGGCGGAAGTTCCATGGATCGACCGAGCGATGCCGGTGGATGAAGGATTATTCATCGCAGCGCCTCGGTCTGATTGCTTGCAGATAGTCGTGGCCGAGGATTTGCGGGCGTGATGATGGATGCTTGCGGTTCACTGAGAGCCGAAAGGAAGAAAAAGTGGGACGCCGACAAGAGACAAGTGTGTCAAAAGAGAGACACTAGAACTAGACTAGACTCAAAAGCAAGAGATAAAATGGAATCACAAATAGAACATTGGAGAATCCAAGGAAAAAGATGGGGCAGGATAAGATAAGCCTGGTCGCATCCACTTTGGGTCTTCTTTCTCTTCTTCTTCTTCTGCCCTCCCTCTGATTAGATTGGGGTAATGTCAATCCACCCGCGATCGGAATCTCCGCCTACAATAATATTTGAGGGGGGTCATAGAGGAATGAACAAGCAGACAAGCAACCCAATGGCAATGAAAATCCCCCATTCCATAGGAGAATAATGACTGGTCCTGAAGGTAGGAGAAAGAAGCTGCAACTGGACCGAGTGCGGGGGATCCTGGGCAAACCCGCCGATCGCTTGTGCTTGTCCCAATTTTCGGACGGGAGCCGTTCATGGTTCCGGTGACTGACTAAAAGATAACCAGTAATTCCGTAGCTAGCCAGCTCACTAGCAAAGATAACCAGCTGCCAGACAGGCTATTGTCAATCGGAGGGAAAAAAAAAGGCTGACGGGGATTGACTTTCCGATTGATTAACCCTCAAGACAGGTGGCCCTGGTCAACAAACGCGCACCACAAGAAAGCATTAACCATAATCTATCCCACATACACCTACCCCCCAATTGATGGATGCAGCAGCACGAATAGGCAGCCAGATCACCGTGCGGCATTGCATCATTCATTGAACTTTGTTTTCCCGATCCAGCACCATCCCATCAAGGGGTCCCGTTTCCAGCAATGCAGAAGGGATGAGATCCCTCTCACCGCACCGCACCATATAAAAAGCTGACAGTTGCGCTCGTGCATGGGTCTCGTTTGAGAACGGGGTAAAGGATGTCCTTTCGTCCACACCTTTTCTAGCTGCTGCTCCTGCTGCTGCTGGGTTGAAGGGAGCGCGCATGGACCCTTTCGCGGGATGGGAATTTGATTGCTTTTTCCTCGCCAACTCCGATTTCTTCCAACGTGGATTCCTCCCCATCCAGCCAGCCAGAGCAGGAGCAATTGGTCATGATGGTGTGCAGACGAAACCATCCTCCGTCGCCAATTCACCAGTGATCGGATGATCTGGAGGGGATCAGATCTGATCCCTTGATGGCGATGGTTACCCGTAACGGAAAAAGGTAGGTATGTCGAGCTGACTAACCTTCCCTGCCTTTTGACCGGATTTGTTTCCGTTTCTGTCCCGATCAGGAAGGTCCAAGAACTCATCCCCGTTTTTGCTTCGCCGGTGATTCTCCGCTTCTCAAGGTGGGGGTGAATCAAGCACGTCCACAGTGAGTCTGTGTTCATGTCTCCAACGGACTCTCCGATGCCGGAGTCCATACGTCTCCATTTGCGGGGATTCGGCGATGTTGCGAGCATATTTGCTGTGAAGATGACGAGGCAGCTGGGGAACGGGCGCAAGATTGCATTGCATCTCATCTGACCAAAAACAAAGGGACTGACTGAATGTTCATGATCTGCATAAAAGGGCGAACACAATTTTATTCATCCTCATGCAGGGATTCCCTCTTTGAGCACTAGGGTTAGGGTCCCTGCCAGTCACTCGCCCCGTCCGGAATAAGCTATGGATTAGGCCGATCGGGGGGATCCGCCCATCCTCAGCTTGTTCAGCTCGCTATTTTCTCCAGACAGCAACATTCCTCCGACCAGGAGGTTAGCAGTAAAAGGAAGACGGTCTCTGGGGTGTCCTCCACTTCCCCCACTTTGCAGACTCGCTTTCCTCAGCCGACAATGTTCTAGTCCATCTGCTCGTTGCTGGGATGGGTTGCTTCCAACACGCCGTGTGACATGTGTCACATCTCTTTGCCTCTATCTTCTCGCTTTAACTTGCCATCCATGTCGAGCAGGCGACCAAGCACAGTCCCTACTGTCAATAAGTAAGTTTCAGCACCTTACCTGGGAGGGAGTATAGTAGATCAGCGAGCCGAACATCCGCCAATCCATCCATCCATCAATCCTGATCCGTCACCCATCCATACTTTTAGCGGATCGTAGGGCGATCAAGTGGGATTGTTCTAGCAGGGTTGATGTGACCTGACCTGACCTGCCCACTGCATCCCCCCCACACACACAGCGGCGGTCGCGTGTGTTGATCGTGCCGAATTAGGTGTAGATGAAAACTGGAAGACGGAGAACAGACCACCGACTGAATCAGGGCGAAAACAAGAACATACAAAGCATAATGCAATTCATGTTTGTTTTTTGCTTAAAAGTGCGATCGGATCTCGCTTGCTTGAATAATGGAGGATCTTCCTCTGGTATTTCTGAGCTGAGCTGAGCTACTTTTAGTGCCAAAGCTACCACCCAATTTTAACCTATGCGTGATAGCCACCCTCGTCACTCGTTCCAAGAGTATTGACAACCACCACATCACCACTACCATCACAACCATGCAGGGTGTAGATGATGATGTAGAGCAGACATGACAGACATGACATGACATGTCTAAAGTTGGATTCTACCTCAGGGGAACGCCCCAATCAGACGACCATAGGTTATTGAGGGTTCCGATCTGTCGTGGCGCGCAACAGCAGCGCAGTACTACCACCACCATTACGATGTACTCATCTTCCATTGAGAAGAACTATCTACTGGGCAGTATTCCATTTATCAACACGACAAAAGGATTACTAGTAAGATAGTGATAGTTAACTAAGTCAGAAATTAGGTACCGTAGCACTCGCCCAGCCAGCACGCAAGCACCGACGAACCAAACCCGCCACAGAACATACTACATACTGTTATATCGCAACGGTGTTATTAGGGGCTCCCGCCGAGGATTACCTCTCAGTGCTACCTACTACCTACCTATCTATGTACCTACTTAATTCCTACTACGGAGTTACTGCTCCTGCTGCTGCTACGGATACAGCCGATTAAGGCCGTCGCCGCCGCCGCCGCCGCCATGCATGCATCCCTACCCTTTCCCATCCTTGTGAGGGGGAAAATTAAGAGAAAGGGATAGAGGGATGGATGGATGGAAGGATAGGTTGATGATAAATGCAGCGGCAGCAGCAGTAGCAGCAGCAGCCACCGCCAACGATTGGTGGGAGTATCGCGGTGGTCTCGACCGTGTTCTATACTACCGTGGGGCTTGTGACAGCAGCAGGAGCAGCAGTTAGTTAAATAAGTAACCTACTTACAAACTACTATGTAAGTAGTGTGTTGTAGTGTAGCCAGCAACACTTGGTCCGTGTGTTCTGTTTCTTCCTTACTTAACTTACCTAATACCCTCTTTACTCACTATCTGAATAGTTAATAGAGATAGATCTACTTCTGCTATACTAAACTACGGACCGTTTTACTACCCACATATAGTAGATAACTTGATAGATAAATGAACAAGTAAAAAGAATTGGGGCCAACTTCCACCAGTCTAATATAAAAGATTACATACATACATACATAACAATACCCATAACCAATCAATCATATAAGTAAGCAAGTAAGAAGACTACTTACTCAGTAGGAGTAACTAGTAGTACCCGACAACCTGGAAACACATTCCTATCGACGGAACAAGCTGCCACCAATCTCCGTCGTGGATAGATTCCCGCAACTTAACTTGCTTCAAAGTAGTAGATATGTATCCGTAGGTAGTAGATAACTGGTAAGTAAGTAACTAAGTATGGATTGTACCGTACCAAGCATGATGGAAGGTAACTCCCAAGCCACGTACATCAGGTACTAAGTTACTACCGCACTCACTACCCGATTTAACCAAAGCTCAAGAAAGGAATGAATGTGGTGGTGGCTTGGACAGATTCGCCTCATCCGACCCTCGGATAAAGGGGGGGTGGTGGATGGTGGGATGAGAGACAAAAGATTGGGGCTTTGTTTCGTTCCTTCGTTCGTTTCTTTTATTTTTTATTTTTTATTTTTTATTTTTTTTTTTTTTCTGTTTGAATGCGATGGAATGGGATGGATGGGAACTTACCGACCGACTGGGTTCATCGTTCTTATTGAATTATTTTATTTACCTGGGTATCAGGGCCATGGATAGGGTGGTGGTATGATCAGATGGTGTCCTTTTCTACCGTAGGGATTTTTGTTTTCTGGAATGAGTTAAATTAGTACTGTGTTTTGTGTACTCCGTACTTGTCAAGGGTATACCGAGTAGGGTAGTTGGTAGTTGGCAGTGAGAGTGCAGAAGACTGCTTAAAGGGGTAAATAGCTACTTAAGGGAATGAGAAAAGACCGAAGGAAAAAAGGGACAGAAGATAGTAGTAAATTGCTACGAAGGTAGAAAGAGCAGAAGATAAAGAATAAATGAAACGGGAAAAATAATTAACCAGGGCGTGAGGCCATTAATTTATTATTTTCATGGGGGTGTTGATTAATAGAGTCAATTAACATTGACTAGGGAAGGAGGGAGGAAAATAAATAATAAACGAAAAAGGAGGGATGGATGAATGTGAGTAAAATATTGTGGATGGGGAGGGATGTTTGTTCATTGTCATCCAACCCATCACGCACTAGCTCCAGGTGTCAAAGCTCCAGCCTACTGTAAGTAAGTCAGTCAGTACTTTGCTTTCTTTATGGGGGGAAGGGGGAAGAAAGAGACGACATGACATGCCTAGTCTAGCTAAATATCCGCTGGTTATAGTTCAGTCAAAGGAATTGACTGACTGATTGACACTGACTGCGGAAAATCCTACCCTACTTCTACGTTTCAGTCCCCACTTGCTCCTGGAGGAGAAGAACGAGTCAACCTCAGGCTCGTATGGGGAAGTGAAAAAAAGGCAAAAAGGGCGCCAGGAAGCGCACAGAGACAAGAGGTAGAGAGAGAATGCCATGTCAGGCCGAACCAAAATTAGCAGCAGCAGCAGCAGCAGCAGCAGAGCGAAAGATGGGATGGCGGTCGAGGGTCTGGAAGAGTTATCCCGCGTCCTACTCCCCGCTTCTATTCGAGGGCCTCGACCGCTGGAGCCCCCGGCGAGATCCAGACTGATTGGCCACCGCCGCCCAGGGAGGCGCGCCCGCTTCCCTGCTGAAGGTGTTGAAGGAGGGTCACTCTCTCCTCCCAGTCGAGGGCCGAGGCCTCCCATCGAACTGGTATTGTAGTAAATTGGATCGGGGAACCCGGTCAGATGCTCTCTCTGTAACTGAAGGTATAGGGGGCCCGTTGCTATGTTATACCACCCTGCTCCAGGGTTTTTTTATTCCCTACCTATTATTTTGAATTCTCACCACCACAACAACACGGGATGCGATCAAATGGTGGTGCTGTCTGTTTGGAACTACTGACGCCGTCTTCCCGATCAAGCACCAGAGAAGCTTAAAATGATTGATATTTCCGGTGCATCTGAAATTTCAAATCCTTTCGAATTCTAATTGCGAGGAACATTGGTTTTTTTTTTTTTCCCTCCTCCCTCTGTGGTTCTGTCTTTTTCTTTTCCTTCTTCCCTTTTTACTGATCAAGACAAGAAATTAAATAAAAAATCAATCATAATCATATTAATCATAATAATAATAACACATCCATCCATCCATCCCAGTGGAAGCCTAAACTTAACTTTTTTTTTTTTATTTTCTAGTTCTCTCTCACTCACTCACCCTCTCTCTCTCTCCATTCCGAAAGAAGATAATCGTGGAAACAAATACCAAAAATATGCGTTAAATAAAATAGGCAGTTAAGAATAACAATAACCTGAGAAATGATAAATCATCCGCTTAACATGGAAAATTAAAAGCCAAATAAATCAGTAACGATTGAGCCAAAGAAGGCACAGACAGTCTGCTTTGCACTGACTGGTAACCGTAGTACTTTTTCCCTGGTCCTCTTGGGGGGGGATGTTTTTTTCTGTGTCCGAGCCCCCCCCTCTTCTCTCTCTCTTTCTTTCTCTTCCTCTCCAACTCTCTCTACTACTAACTAACTAACTCACTATTGACGCTGTTGTCTCTTTCTCTTCTCATTCTTGTCTTCAACCTGTCTTTATCCCTCCTCCCCCAGATCAAAAGTCCCCTTTTCCCGGGCGGGACCTCCCGCTAAAGCAAACGCGATCAGGATGCGCTCCACGAGGCTTTAATCGGTCAAACAATCCATCGACAGGGAATTCATTCATCGAGGCCCCAACGAGGCGATCAGGAACAAATCCACCGCCCTACTGCCATTCCTATTCCTACTACTTCCTCACTACCTCTACTACTACTACTACCACTACTACCACTTCCACTACTACTTCCAATTCCTCCCCAATCTCACCCTCCCCCTTCGCAGACATTTAGATCCCAATTCCAATTTACAATTTCCCTTCCAATCCCTACCCTATCCTATCCCCCTTCTAATTCATTCCTTCCCCTCTTCTTCCTCCCGCTTCCCCCCAAAAGTCTCAATCTGAAACCTCACCTTCAACTCCATCCATTCATTCATTGATTCACTCACTCATCCATCCATCCATCTATCCATCCATCACCACTACTACTCCACCCTTCTCTATTGTCAACTTTCACCCCCTCGCGCTAGATGATCGATCCCGCCCAACTTTAGCCTTCCCATCTTCTTCTCCCTCGCAGACGTCCGCCCCTGACATGCACCTGTCGGCCCACTCGACGAGACAGCGCTCGTCGTGCCTTGCCGTCCGTTAGCAGCAGCCCCCACGCCTGCCCGGCAACCATGTCCCCTCCGTCCCTCGCCATTCCGGCCACTTCTCCCGTGGCCGAAACTCTCCATCTTTGGAAGAAACGCTTCGACAAGCGACATCTTTCCACGTAAGCCAATTTCCCCCCTTGCTTCCTTTCATGATTCGAGTCTCGTGGGGCCGTCGTCTCTTCGTGACTCGTTTGACTTCCCGTCAACCTTGTGTGTCTGTGTGTGTTGTGCCCGCGGATGATCTACACAGGCTCCATCCCCCATGATAGGATAGATAGTCCGTGCTTTAATACTCTTCCGGAATAGCTAGAGCACGGTGCGGATACAAGACCGTGATCGTTCGTCCCACTGACCATCCGACAGCAACCCGGTTATCGCTACCCTTGATATAGAATACAACGAGCTGGTTCAGTCTTGGAAACGCTTCCAGGATAACCTCCTCCCCAACGATCGAGTGCTCTTCCACGAACGTCTGCAGGGTCCCGACGATGTTTTGGACGTTGTCGCCAGCATCGAGCCCGTCTGGACGTCCACGTCGGGACAGCGAATGTTGAGGGAATGTTGCGACGAATTTCGTTCGACCCTGGGCTCACACGGGAGGTTACTGGCCGTTCTACCAAGGAATGAATTGTACTGCTCGATCTTTTACGGCGTCCTGCAATCTCTTCTGAAGGTGAGCCCGGATGTTGTTCGTATCCCCCTCCCCCAGTCAATAACTAAATCATGAGTCCCAGGCATCCGCGGGCTATCCCAGAATCATGGAAGGATTGGTCAAAGCACTGGTCCAAATCAACCGCCTCATTGCCCCTCCAGCCTCGGGCGAGGCAGTACCGACGACGAAGGACTCCATCAACGCCATTGCCCGCTTCTACACGCTCCTATTCTTCTTTCTTGGAGAAGTGATGGACTGGTATGTGAGAAAGGCCAAATGCGGGCTCCTGCGGAGCCCCAACCAAGACGTGTACCGTGCCTTTCAACGCCTGATTGGCCAGATTCGACGCAGCGCGAAAAGTATGATGGAAGATCTCACGGACGCCATGGACCTCGATGACCCCGACTGCGATAGCTTATGTGAAATGACCCATGACGACTATCGGGGGTGGTTTGAGCGGGCTCGATTGAGCCAGGTGGGTCTTCAGAACGGGGCCCGCCGCTTTGCAGCGCAGAATGCCCTCACCCGTCAGTTGATGTGGGAGATTCATCAGGATGCGGCGGAGCGTAAGCGATTATTGCAAGACAGAGATGTTCTTCTGGCGCGATTGCTGGATACTGTTAGTCTACAGCTACAGTCCGTGAGTAAACAAAACAGCGGCATTGCCTGTTTGACCACGACCGCTTCCCAGGACTTAGGTAGGGAAGCCAGGCTCACATGGCCCGAACTGCTCGAAGAGCTGACCGTGCACGCATTACAAGACACAGACAGGTTCAACCTGATAAAAGGGGGGCACAAGCATAAGTACACACGCATGGAATTGCAGATGGCTTCCCAGAAACTCGAAGACTTCTTTGATGCCGACGACCAGGTCCCCGCGCTCGAAGTCGACGTTCCAGTCATTGCGGAAGATAACGTGATGACCTCGCTGAAACAATGGGCGACCGACGCCCACTCACAGGTCCTGGCCGTGGGGGGCCCTCAATCGACAGTCTACCCTAGCCCGGTTCTGCTTGTCTCGACGTGTTACGCGAGCTTTGCTCGCAAGGCGGGCTTGCCCGTGATCTCTCACTTTTGCAACCGATCCACGGATGCCGCCAACGAACTGACCTATGAGCAACACCTCATTGCCCTGGCGTACAGCCTGATCCGCCAGTTGATAGAATACCTGCCTCCCGTAGTCGAAAGTCATGCGGGGTGTGATCTGAGCGGCGAGCGGTTTAAACCTTTGAACGGCTCGCTCACGTCCTGGAAGGAGGTGCTCTCGCTGATCGATATACTCCTGCACTTTGCGCCACCCCTGCTGGTGTGCGTGATCCATGGGCTCGATGTCATTCAAGATGCGTCGACAGATCCGTACATCCGCTCATTGGTGCGGACCTTTCTGACGCATACGCGGCACCAGCCCGAATTGCTGCCAAACGGCGGACAGAGCCAGAGCGTATTACTGAAGGTGCTGTTCACGGTGGCTGGTCGCCCAAGCTCGCTAGTGGAGACATTATCCGAGAACCAGCTCATTCTGCGGGAGTCGAACACGACCGAGGAGCTGGCCCCGACCGACGCCGCCTTGGACGCCGATGTAGGCCCTACGGCCATGATTGCATAGTCATTTCGATGCTTGAGCGACGCCGCATTGCGATTTAAGTTTGATTATTCTTTTCTTTCGGGTGAAAAACGGGTCCTCATAGAATTTCATGCAGGCTGGGAATATTCTTCATGTTTTGGATATAAGTTGGATTGGCATGGGCCGCTGGATGATGCATTGCTGTGAATTCTTCCTTTCTTTCGTAACGTCACCTCCCCCAGATTAAGGGGAGCTTACAACGATGGTTTTTCTTTGTTTCTGCATGTTGATGGAGATATTTTTATTGTTTGGGACAGGCACATCTCTTCTATCTCGGAAGCACGGAGTATACGACAGGACCGGTTGGGAGGGAGCATTTGGGTGTACATTTGTAATTATAGCAGCTCGACGAGGACATGCATATACGACGGCTGTTGCTAGACTGATACCCTGCGTTGCAGTGGCTGTCCTGATCTGGATCAGAGTCTCAAGAGTCTCTGTTAGTTGTCTTTCCCCGGATTGCTGGGTGTTCTTGGCACCCTCGGGATTCATCTTCCGACGCAGTGCCGCTGCATCCCATCCTCTCCCCCACAATCATTCTTTTCTTTTCTTCTGCATCCTCTTCTGGAGTCTGTACGAGTCAGCCAAGCGAGCATTCTCCACTGACTGCGTCTTCCTTTGGCTGTGCGCGTGACCTGCTGTGTTCGGAATTTAACGTGGGAGTGGATCCGGGACTGCACCTCCGTCCCAGATATATATTTATTGAACTCTCCCATGCTGGTGGACAACGCAGTCAACATCAATCGTCTTACAAACCATCTCCAACATGGGTTCCAACGGATTTCGCACCGGCTCCAACCGGCTATTTCAACTGAATTCCGTCAATGTAGAGGACTTTAAGAAAATCTGCTCCCAGACCACCGACCCCACCAGCTATCCGCTGGCTGTGGCCGTGCAGAAGAACATTCCCATCTATGATGCCGCCACCTTCGATCCCCTGAGTGCGGATACCACCCCGGCTCTCCAAGCAGAATGGCATCACATTCTTGAATCTGGACCGGGCATCTTTGTCCTCAAAGGCATGTACCATCCTTCCCGGTACGCAGACACCCTGAACGCCACCAACACAGCTTTCCAACACATCATCGACCGGGAGCGCCAATCCCTGAATCCCAAAGGCGACCACTTCGCTGCCAGTGGGAAGAACGACCGTATTTGGAACTCCTTCAGCAAGCATGCCTTTGTCGACCCCAGCTCCTTCATCAAGTACTACAGCAATCCCTGGCTGCGTGTGGTTAGTGAAGCCTGGCTGGGGCCCGCCTATCGGGTGACCGCCCAGGTCAACATCGTCAAGCCCGGTGGCGCTGCCCAAGATAGTCACCGAGACTACCATCTGGGATTTCAGGAATTGGATCGATGTGCAGCCTTCCCGCGGAGTGTTCAACTCGCCAGTCAGTATCTCACATTGCAGGGGGCCGTCGCGCACAGTGAGATGCCGGCGGAGAGCGGTCCCACGCGGTTCCTGCCGTTTAGCCAGACATACGCACCGGGATATCTGGCATGGCGCCGGGACGACTTCCGGGAATACTTCAAGGAAAACTATGTGGCATTGCCGTTGGAGTTTGGCGATGGGTTGTTTTTCAATCCAGCGGTATTCCATGCCGCGGGGGCCAACGAGATGGCCGAGAGCACGGGCTTCCATCGCAAGGCAAACCTGTTGCAGATTGGATGTGCCTTGGGGAAGACGATGGAGCACATCGATGCAGTACCGGTGGTGGAAAAATGTTGGGAGGAGGTCAGTGAGAAGTATCGGCGGCAAGGAGGGCTAAATGCAGAGTTGGAGGCATGGGTATATGCCGTGGCAGATGGGTATCCGTTCCCCTCGAACTTGGATCGTCGCCCCCCTGCTCCGAGTGGGATGGCACCAGAGAGCGAACAAGAGATGATTCTCCGGGGGTTGAAAGAGGGATGGGATCGGACCAGGATTGTGGAGGAACTGCGAGCGCTGCAGCGAGAGGGACGGGGGCACCAGGAGGTGTAGTTGATAAATATACATTTTTGTTGTCCGTATAGATAGCTGATCATAAACCTATGGAGGAGCATTTCTCCGATGCAACGCTATCCCGTGTTCTTCCACTTTACACTCCCACAAGACGAAGTTCAAGTAGGACAACTGCCGCCATGTACTCCGTCCCTATCATCCTTCGTTATTCTCACGATCAGACCGTCCACGCTTCCACCATGCCCATTCCCATACCGACCCAACATGCTGTCCTTTTGGCAGCTCCTCCAGCTACTGCTGGCCACCCTCCCAGCAGCAGCCATCAACCTCACCGGCTATGAATACATCGTCGTAGGCTCCGGCGCCGGGGGAGGCCCCTTGGCTGCCCGCCTAGCCCTAGCAGGCCACTCCACCCTGCTCCTCGAAGCCGGCACCGACCAAGCTCACAACCTCAACACCTCCGTCCCAGCCTACGCAGCCCTCGCCGCCGCAGATGACCATCTCTCCTGGAACTTCTTCATCCGCCACTACGCCGACGACGCCCAACAAGCCCGCGACCCCAAAGCCGTCTACACCACGCCCACCGGCGAGCAATACGTCGGCCTCCATCCACCCCCAGGATCCACCATGAAAGGCATCCTCTACACCCGCGCCAGCACCCTAGGAGGCTGCACCGCCCACAACGCCCTCGTCGCCATCTACCCCCATCGCTCCGACTGGACCTACATCGCCAACCTCACCAACGACTCCTCATGGCTCCCCGACCCCATGCGTGAATACTACATCCGCCTCGAAAACAACCACTACCTACCCCCGGACGTCCCAGGCCACGGCTACACCGGCTGGCTCTCCACCGAACACGCCCCCATCAACCTCGTCCTCCAAGACCCCCAACTCCTCTCCCTCCTCCTCGGCGCTATCTTCACTCACCCCCGAACCATCCTCTCCAACCTCATCTCCCTACTCCTTGGCGACGTCAACTCCCCATACCCCTCCCGCGACTCCAAACCCGCCTACTACCAAACCCCCATCGCCACATCCTCGAACGTCCGCAACGGCGCCGCAGACTTCCTCCGCATCGTCCACTCCGCTACCAACCCAGACGGCAGTCAAAAATACCCCCTAACCATCCGCACAAACTGCCACGTCACCCACGTCCTCTTCGACACCACCTCCCACCCCCCTCAAGCAACAGGTGTCTCCTTCCTCGACGGCCCCTACCTCTACCGCGCCAGCCCTCTCTCCTCCCCCCACACCCCCAGAACCCCCGGCACCGCCACCGCAACACGCGAAATCATCCTCTCCGCAGGCGTCTTCAACACGCCCCAGATCCTCCAACTAAGCGGCATCGGGCCCGCAGACCTCCTCAAGCAACACAACATCCCAATCCTAGTCAACCTCCCAGGCGTCGGCGCAAACCTCCAAGACCACTACGAAACCTCCGTCGTAGTCGAAGCCCCATTCCCCTTCCGCATCCTAAACGGCTGCACATTCAACTACACGTCCGACCCGTGTTTGATCCGCTGGCTGAATCTAAAAGGACTCCACAAAGATCGCGGTATATACTCCTCTGCAGGGTTCACAAGTACATTACTCCACCATACCCCCTTCCCCAACACATCCGCTACCCCCAACCACAATAACGACAACAACAATGATGACTACAACACAATAATCTACGGCGGCCTCGTCAACTTCCGCGGCTACTTCCCGGGCTTCGAAGTCAACCTAACCCTAACGCACCACTCCTTCACATGGGCCATCATCCAAGCACATCCATCCAACAGAGCCGGAACGGTGAATATCACTTCGTCAGATCCGCTCGATTCTCCACATATCCTCTTCAACTCCTTTTCAGACCCTGGTTCGGAGAAGGATCTATTCGCCTTAGTGGATGCGATTAGGGTTGCGAGAAAGGCATTGAAGAGACAACTTATACCTACGTGGGAGACGCTCCCGGGGAAGGAGGTACAGGGGTATGAAGAGCTGAGGCAGTATGTGTTGGATACGTCGTGGGGGCATCATGCTGTCGGGACTTGTAGGATTGGAAGGGGTGAAGGGGGTGATGATGAGGGGGCGGTGGTGGATGGGAGGTTTAGGGTTAGGGGCGTAAGGGGACTGAGGGTCGTGGATGCGAGTGTGTTTCCTAGGGCACAGGGGACGTTTCCGGTTTTGGGGGTTTATATGTTGGCGGAGAAGGCGGTGGGGGATATTTTGGGGGATGATGGGGGGTGAGGTGGGGTGGGTTGTATGTAGATGGGGAGATATTGTGTAGGTCTGTGGTGATAATGATGATGATGATGATGATGATGATGATGTAGGGTTCGTTTGGCAGTTAGTAACTTAGTTAGTTTGCCTACAAGTGGAGAGTGATTGAGAAAGATGCCGTGGAATTACTAGTGGATCTACGTGCCATTACAGGGTATGATTGTCTTCTTTGGAACAGGAAAATGGCATCAACTTGAAGCATAAGGCATAAGTGACATGTAAATGAAATGGTATTCTGGCTGGGTATAGTATTAGGGATTATATAGCGAGGGATATCAGTGGGTAATGTGGTGTAAACAGGAAAGTGAAAGTAGGTAAAAGGAAGATAAAGAGGGAATCGTACGAAAAGAGTAGGAACAGGCAAAGAGGGAATAGGAAGAAGAGCAAGAAGAAAGGCGCTGCAAAGAGAGCCTCTAAGCAAAAGGGGAAAAGAAAGAGATGAGAAACGAAACGAAACGAAAAGAGAAGGAAAACACAAAATAAGTGAGGGTAAGTGTGAATGAGTGTGTGGTGAGGGGAAGGAGATCATTTCTTGTTGATCTTGTTCAGATAGTTTTTGATCTCTTGGTTGCCTCTTTCCCTCACATCCGTGAGCCAATCTCTCACTCCCCGGCTACTATCTCCCACCCGGATAACACCGTCCTTCACACCCTTCCATCCTTTGATGGGTTGTTCTATAAAACTGTGATTGCCCCAGCACATCTTAGACCAGAGCCCCTTGTCGGGCGAGGTCCGCAACCCAGCCCGACTCTTGTTGCAGTCATTGCAGTAGTCGGTCGCCGGGCAGTCAAGACACATGTACCACTGAGGTGCTTCCAACTCCCACTTGCTCAACTTCGGCTTATTGCAGGGCCCCATGCACTGCAGCGTGCAGCCATTACTTTCATCGACGTCGATAGTCTCGTCCGGGATGGGCATGCTGTCGGGAGTCGTCACTGCCGTTGTTGGGGACTCGTTTGTACTATCAACAGAGCAATGACAAGTGCACGCGCTCTTGACGGACTGTGGGCTTAACGGCTCCCCAGGATGGGCTGCTGGCGCAGAGGCAGTGCGGCTTGGGTCCACCTTCAACCCCATCCATCCATCGACAGCAGGCATTGGCGCATCGCGATCGTAAAGGAATGCCGACAAGGTGTGCTGGAATTCATCGTCACTGACTTGGACCGCGTCGGCATTGGCACGATCAAAGATAAGAGACGCTGCAATTCCGGCATCCTTTCGGAGATTAAGCCAATTCAGCACCTTTGCCAGTGTACGGAAAGCAGACATGTCGTTGTCATCAACCCAATCGTCCAGATCGGCAATGCAGAGCTTAAAAGCTTGGTCGGCTATTTCGTACGCCCGACGTTTATGATTCATGTTTGAAAACATTTTTGCGAGCGTTATGAGAGCATTAGCCTTGGCAGATGATTCTATGACATCTGCTATCCGGACATTGTTGATCAGATCAGCCGCTGCATAACACAGAGCCATCCTCAACGATTGGACCTTGGTCTTGCTGAATCGATAATAGTAAATGTCGAAGCGCTCTGTGATAATAATGCTGAGCAGTCTAGAGTCGACTTGAAGGGTCTCGTCTCTTATCATAGCATCCAGTATCCTGTTAAAGATATCCTCGGCCATCCTGATTGCATGGCAATCTTGTCGGTAGATGACCGCAAGTTCCGATAGCATGACACATGTCTCATGGAACAGCCCTTGATAAGCCCAATAGTTGATGGCACTGTCGTAAATTCGTATAACGACTTCAACGTTGCCAGTTGCCACGGCTGCCCTGCGGAGCCAGTCATCCTTGTTCGTTTGGCGAGAGCGGCTCATCAGCCAAGTGGGAATGAAGTTGGCTTCCTGGGTAACCATCTGTCTTTCTACCGTATTGATGATCTCCATATGATCTTCCTTCTCCGCATAAATCTGCACAAGAATAGTCAAGAAATAATTCAGCCCTCGGCATTTCTTGAAGTCGCCGCTTAGTGCGTCTGTGCATCTCTTGTAGGCTAGCTGCTTATCACCGAGGGCCATGCAGGCTTGGACGGAAAGCATATAGACCCTCTTGCATCGGTTAAGATTGAAATTAGGTCGCAATGCGGCATCTGTATTTTTCCAGCACTTGAGGGCTTCATCAGTGTACTCCTTGACTTTTCTCCACTCATCCACAGCGATGACTCCGGCTTGGGGCACAGAATGTTCTGCAAGTCCAAGCAATGAATATAGCTTCTCTGCACACATTGAATCGTCCAAGTACCGGTTATGCCTATACAGGGAAAGAGCATACTCCCGGTCATTCTGGTTGTCCGATTCATACAAAAGGAGGGCGGCTGTGAGTCGCGCTTGCGCAAATCGTGTGCGCGAGTCTCTGCACCACGCAAACAGATCTTGAGCGATCCTCGTGTTGATCTGGTCATCATCTCGGGACCAGTGCTTGTATTGCCCAGTCTAAACATGTTAGCTCACCAGGATTGATTTTTATCGGTATCCAGATACGTACATTGAATAACGCGCGATAGGCAAGCCTGTATGGCACCTTAGCGCCCTGAGGAGTAGATTTTTGAACCCAGCTGCGAATATGGCCTTTAGCTAGATCTTCCAGCATTCCTTCAGGGCGCTTCTTCAGGGCCTGGGCCCAGGTCCATATCTGAGTCGGAAGAGATAAGTTTTCCCTCTCGTCTCTTTCTGTCAGCTTTTCTATCCAAGCCCGTACAAGTTCATTGGTGCTCCTGGCCTTGTCGGTATCATAGATATCGAAGTGGATTTGCTTGTCAGATGAGTACCATATTATATCCTCGAACACAGAAGAAACGCCAGTTTCGTTTGTTAGAACCCTGCC